TAAATGTATATTTAGGTGTACGTAAATTTTTTCATAATAAATATTACAAATTTAAAAAACAACACACACATAAAATATATTAAATGTGTACTAATTTATAATTCCTTATCATATTGTAGTACCTATATACTTTTATGCCTATAAATAAAGTGGCTGTACTCTCTGCTGAGTCTATACTGGCTAGCAGAAAAATGTGTGTAGATTGTAATGAAAATATTTTTTTTTTATTTGTTTCTTTATGGAATAAACTTGTTTTTCAGGCACTCCGCCCAGTATTGAAAACCCGTATGGACCATATCCACTATACGTGACGAATGTTAAAAATAAGGCCGTGCCAATAGTACAGGCATACGCAAATACCAAATACGTTGGGAAGGTTGTTTTAAAATTTGATTCTAATGGTGACTTAGTTAGTATCAATGGCAAACCAACATTATTGAACCATGAAGAAAAACAAGGTTATAATTCTATTTTTGTTTATAAAAAAATATTTCTGTGATTTTTAACTTTACACAATATAATATTCTAATATGATGTAGATCCTGAAATGTTGACTGTTGTCGATCGATGGAAACCACAGGTAACTAATTTTACGAACGTTACAATCGGACGTACGGCTGTCGAGTTGATAAACAGTTGTCACGAAATGGAATGCAACATAGGTAACCTGATAGCTGATTCTTTCGTTTACTATGTGAGTAATTATGAACTTAAAGTTAAATTTTCCTTAACAATCAATTGGATTTTAGAACGTCCTGAAAAGAGATGTTTACAACGAGTACTGGACTGATGCTCCCATTGGGATCATTCAAGCTGGTGGTATTCGGACTACAATCAACGAAACTGATCATGACGGTAACAATATTATTTACATTATATTATACACTTTATTCTGAATTGTAAGATTTTTTTAAAATTATTTATATTTTAACTATGGATTATTAGGTATATACGTATTTATAAATTATAATATACGGCGTATAGGCATCAGCGACGCAAACATAAATACCAATGCTATTATACTATTTAATTACTTTTCTTAGCAAGTACCTAAATAAAAGTCAATAAAATAAATAAATAGTATAATTAAATAGTTACTTCAACATTTTTTTACTGCATTCTCCATTTATAATTAATATTTCATATGGTTTAAAGTTTTTAATTGTTCGTTGTTTTTGCTTAAATCAATGCCACAGTGGTAAACAACTAATAAATTACGTATTAATTATTTAACCGCTAATATACTAAGAATTAAAATAAAAACAATATCGTTTTATGTATGTATTTTTACTTTTGTTTTTCAAGGATATTAAAATAGCAATGCTATAAATAATGGAACATGGCCTAAAATATTAATGATTTATTTTCTGTTAACCAGGTTACATCACATTAGGGCAGTTAATGAATGTCATGCCGTTTCAAAGTATCCTGGTTAAAGTTACTATTTCTGGTAGTAGCCTATTAGAAGCATTTGAACAAAGTATTTCTGACTTTGTAGAAGGTCGAGGTGGATCTAAACTTTTACAAGTATCCGGTAAATTTAAAATTTTAACATTAATTTAGAGTTAAGACACTTAAAGAATTCAGGATCAAGGGTTTATCTTCTTATGTCGGACTAAAATCTCAATGCCACTAACACATGTTTTGTAATTTTTGGGTAATATCAATTTATATGAATTAAGTATATACTAAACTCAGGTGCATTATACTATTAACTATAAATGTTTATTATGAGTTAAAAGTGTTAGTACCCAAATAAGAAAAAAATCCTAGTTTTATAACGAGTTAATTCTACTAAAATGAAATTTTTTAGTTATTATCAATGTAAATATAATCAATTTTTAACACATTGTAGTATGTATCTTGATAAAAAAATATTTTTCAGGCGTTCTAGTCGAGTATGATTTAACAAAGAGCCCTGGTAACCGAGTCTCTTCACTGTCACTCCGATGTGGTGATTGCAAAGTTCCTAAATTCAAACCTCTACAGTTAAATGC